GCCCGCCCCACCTCCGGGCGCCCCCCCAATGGCCGCCCGCCCCCCCCTTTCAGGGTAGCAGACGGGAACGTGGGGGCCGGAGAGGGGAGAGGGCGACGCGTCTGCCCGGGTACCTGTCATTGCAAGAGAAATCCATTCCGAGGACGATGCTTTCCTCGGTGTCTTGCCTGCCGTTGGTCGACACCACCACCATGTACCTCGTGCGGTTCTGGTACGTGCTTTCCAGCCTCACCGCCTACGGGCCATGGAGAGAAGAGAAACGTCAGCAGCAGAGCCAGGGTCCTGCCCAGGGCTGCCTTCAAACACGCTCGCCCTCGGAACCTGGGGCCAGCTGCTTCCGGGCTCTGCCACGCCTGGCCCACTTCGCCCGAGGAGGGGCCACTCCTGAGCCCAAAGAGCAGAGTCTTGGTGACCCCCACACAATTAAAGCAGGCGGCTCCCGAGGCCCGTCTCAGCCAGGGGATTAGCGTAATCTCATTTACTTCACTCAGCTAGTCTGGGGAGCTGTAATTAGATGTCCGGTCTCAATGCGAGACTCCTTAGAGCGGGTGCCAAAGGTCACATGGCCTCACGTCGGACAGGATTTCCACAGGCACCGCGAAGAGAAAGACCTTTTAGGAGCGGCGTTGGCCACCCCACTCTGCCGAGCCTCCGCGGGCGCAGCTAGCAAGGAGACCTGTTCCGCAACATTTCCCAGGGCAGCCAGTGATTAGTTCTGTCCGCCTAGACCGGTGACATCTCAAGCAATTCACAAGCTGAGTCTCCCGGGGCTGGAGAGGGAGCTGAAATTCTCAGCTTCCTCCTCCGAACAGGGATCCCCCTCACTGCCAATCGCACGCCGCAAGGAACCGCAAGAGACTCAGCTGCATCAGTCCCTGCCGGCCAACGCCACGGCTGTCGTAAGCAGCAGTGGGCGGGCAGCTGACCCACACGAGGGAACATTCCCTTCTCCCGTTGAGAAACGGACCGGCAACAGAAACTCTCTTGCAGCTATTCCTGTACCCAGCTTCTGCCTTGAGACCGCACGCTGTGGTTACAACACCGCTTCCCCCTCAGCCGCTGGCTTGTTTTGACCAGATTCCAGCATGCAGTGTAACATTAGGTGGGTCCGGAGCGGATACAGAGGTTTTGCCCATCACCTCGAGGGAGGGTAAAACCCACAAGGCCTGCAGCAGGGCCGGGAGAACTTAGAAGCCGCAAATTTGGTTTGGGTGCGGAACAAGATTTGGTTTTTTGGAAGTTTAAAAGCCAGCTGCCCGGGCTCTGCACTGGGCCGAGTTCGAGGAGTTCCTCGTACAACCGAGCCCATTGCCTGCCTGCTACTGGTGTGACCCAGGTCCGCTAACGGGCCCAATCCTGCTCTCCTGAATCAGCCTCCAAACAGCGCCAGGCAGGGCCCTTCTCAGGTGCTAGCGGCAACCTGGCTTTGCGCCGCACAGTGCAGGCAGCAACACTGCT